CTTTCTTCCACTCTTTTTGTCCTTGTTTGTTTTTTCTGTATCTTTGATGTGCATATTTAGATATTTTTGTTGAGATATTTCTTATACCTTTATATAGGCCTGTCTGTCTATATATGTCCCTGTGAGTACTGCTTTCACTGACTATAGAAGTTCTGTTAGATTGTGTCTTCATTTTCATTTTTCTTAGATATTTTATTTCCTCATTACACCAGTAGTCATTCAGTAATATGTTCTTTAGGCTTCACATATTTTCAGTATATCCTAATTTTTTCCCTGGGTTATTTCTACCATGGTATTTTTGTGATCAGAGAAGATACTTGGTACGATTTCATTATTTATGAATTTATTAATATTTGCTATGTGATCCGATGTGTATTTGCTTGAGAATATTCCATGTTTACTTGTGACAAATATATACTCACTTTTTAGGGAATGGTGTCCTATAAATGTCTTTTAAATCCATGTGGTCTAATTCTGGGCAGGCCGATTTTCCTTATTGATTTTCTGTTGGGTTGACATATGTATTGATGAAAGTGGAATACCGTAGTCCTCTCTCTGTATTGTATTGTTCTCGTACTTATACAGTTTGTTAACAGCTTTTGATATCTTATGCATTTGATATCTTTTTTTTATGCACATCTATTGATGAGAGTTATATGCTCTTGTCTTATTCATCATTTAATCATTACATAGTGCTTTTCATGTCTCTTGTTATGATATTAATGTGACTGTTCTTGTATTTCTTGGTTTTGTATTCCTTGAAGGTTTGTTTTCCAGTATTTTTTTTTTAACAATATATAGATCTTTTTTGAGGTCAGGTGAATCTTCTAGAGACAACAGAATATAAATTTTGTTTTATGATCCAACAGCTAATCTGGACTTTTTGTTTCATGAGGTCAGTCCATTTATATTTATGGTGACTTTATGCTGGTGAAATGCTTCCACCATTTTGGACTCATTTACAGGTTTCTGTTTCATTGTTCAATTTTATTTTACTTTATTGAGGCAAAATTTGGTTTACAACTTTGCATATGATTTAGGCAAATAGTTACCACATTATGCATACCATGAAGCTACACAGTGTTTTAACATAGGTCGCTGGAAAACTTCCCCTGTTTTTGTTTATAAGATTTATTTATTTATGCATACAGAACTGGAGTAATGGCCAGAGGTGCAGAGGTGGTGAAAAGATTCACCAGAGACAGAGTGGGGAGCAGAACAGGCATATCAATGAAGTACACTGCTAAGGGGAGCAGCAGGCGAGCCAGGAGAGATCTGCCGCACCATGTGGTCACCTCCGGGGCAGGCGAGAATCGAACTCATGCGGAAGTGGCTTTAGCTTCTTAATGCTGTGCTTTAACCTGCTGCGCCACCAGGGCCACCTCCCGTGTTTTTTTTTTTTCTTGCCTTTCTTTCTAGCATTCTTATTTCTGCAGTCAGTTTTGGTGTTTGTTTTGGTTCAGTTTTGTCATATCCTTTTCCCACCCCACCCCTGCATGTATTGTACATATGAGGGAAATCATCTTGTATATGTCTTTGTCCTTCGAAATATTTCATTTAACATAGTGACTTGCAAAAATAAAATAGCATATTGGCTATATGTTTCATGACATATGATGATTTTGGAAACTTGACTCCTATGGCAAAGGAAATAAAACCAAAAATTGACAATTGAGATGACCTTAAACTGAACAGCTTTTACACAGGGAAAGAAAATATGAGTGTATTTAAAAATATATCCTAATTAATAGGAGAAAAACGTCACACATTATACAGCTAACAAGGTAAACTGTATCTGAGATATACTAAATTGTATTAAATTAACAATATAAGCATCCCAATTACACAATGGGCAGCAGATTTGAACAGCCCATTAGTGAAAGAGGATAGCAGGTTTGAACCTCTCAGAAAGACATAAGGTAAAGTGTTTAACACATTTATTAGGAGAAACACAGTTTAGAACTCAAGTGAGATATCATCACATTTCCATGAGAATGGTACATATTAAAAATACGTCCAGGGCCCTCTCTGGTGGCGCAGCGGGTTAAAGCACAGCACTAAGAAGCTAAAGCCACTTCAGCATGAATTCGATCCCCTCCTGCCCCAGAGGTGACCACATGGCGAGGCAGACCTCTCCTGACCCACCTGCTGCTCCCCTCAGCAGTGTACTTGGTCAGTCAACCTGTTCTGCTCCCCACTCTGTCTCTGGTGAATCTTTTCACCACCCCTGCACCTCTGGCCATTACCCCAGTTCTGTATGCATAAATAAATCTTCTTAAAAAAATTAAAAAGGTAAATTTTGGAAAACTTGTTTCATTAAAAAAATTTGAGTCAAAATGTCTCCCTGGAAATAAGTCTAAGACGTTACCTTAGTCTTCCCAGTAGTTGCCTGTTTTTAATGTATAATAAAAAACCCAGGTTACTGTAAAAAATGACTACCTGATGTTAAGTCATACAACTAATTTGTTCTTCATCTGATTGTGGACAGGAGAGTAGTATAAGTAGAATCTGGAAATTGTAGCAACTGTGAAATAATTCCTATCATCATTAATAGATATATTGGACTACTTAGAAAGCTCTGATGTATACTAGAAAACATGAAAACTAATCACAATATAGTGACAAAAAGTCAAATACATATTCCAACTCCATGGAGCATATAGTCAAGTTGTAGAGACTCAAGGCAACTTACCAACATCATAGAATTATAAAACTGAGAAGTATGTAAAAATGGAGAATATGGTTCCCTTGGTTTATAGGACATTTAAGCACATATTATCAAGACACTGGTAATTCAAGTCAAAAATTCTCCAATAAAAATCTGGTAGGGAATTTGACCAACTTTGTCAAATCATGGAAATTAAGGTGGAGCCGTGAAACGAAGAGGACTCTAAAGTCTCCCAAGCCTGAGTCAGCTTATGGAAAAGGGCTAGTTTATATCATGAAATTGACCAAGAAATTTGGAAAAAAGCTAGTTAAGTGTTATTGCTTTAAAACTCTACTGTCAACAGCTGGATCATCCTATGGAAATAAAGGAAACAAAAGGATGTTTACTTCAGGAGGCTGCCTTCTAAAAGAGATCATGAACATGAATTCACAACTAAAAGATTTCCCTTAGAAAAATAGAAAGAGGAATTGGGTGGATTTGAATAAAGTTAGTAGGTTTGAGTTACAAAGAATGAAAAGACCAAAGTACAGATTTGGTAAAGATTATACAACAAAATAGTGTCTTCCTCTAATAACTGATTAAACCCTGATGAAGATTGTTCAGTGTACTTGAGATCCTTTAAGAAATTTGAAGTAAATTGCATATTTTTCCATCATTATTCTTTTAATGAGTTAGGAAGATATAAAACAAAGTGAGGTCAAAACAGGTAACACTGAAGTAAATAGAATAAACTAAGGCTAAAAGTCAAGTAGAAAGAGGGAGGTATGTCAGTTTATAAAATTAAGGCACTAAATGAGAAAAACAGAATTGTTTGTGCTGTATTTTTACACAATATTGATATAAGATGTGAGAATATTACACTAGCACAGTTTATGAAAAATGAGTGGGTAATGGAATATTGTGTAAGATTGCTAGTTTTGTCTTACATTGATGGAACACTTTGTCATTGCAAAGGTGATAGAATGAGGTTTAATTTCAATTTCTTGGTGAACTAAAAGTCATTTTTGGTTATGTTTTCTAGCTGAACTTCATATATTTTTGCAACTTGGTTTATTTAATCTAGTACTTTGTCAAAGGCCCTATTACTCAGCTTTGTAAACTCTATTTCTACTAAAAAGCATCATCAATATTAGACAATATTAGAATGTAATAGTCAAAATATATTTGGTGACTTGAAAGCAACTTGATCCTAATGTTTAATGACTTTAAGCCTCTTCATTGTGATTACAGCTTTCAAATGATGCATTCAGTCCATTGACTTTAGTAGAGTATAAGATAGAGCAGCAAATACTGACTTTTTATTTCATTATTTTAATGATTATCATTTGAAGCTGCAGTTCCTGACTTGTGCATACTAGTGTAAAGAGTATGTAAACAGAATAAGTTAGGTTAATACTAAAAATTTTAGCCTCAATTCATCAGTTAAAAACACCATCAATTTGTGAGAAAAGACACCTTAGATTGGAAAGGTTGCAGGGTTTTTTTGTACAGCCACTCCATCAGAGTACACCGCTAGTTATACAATCTCGTTTTAAAAAATTAGTAGAAAAAAAACTTAATTGGGGACAGTTGATCCCTTGTTCCTTATGAATTCTCAGTAAGTGTGGAAATGCTAATAAACTTCAGGTCTTACTATATTTACTCATCAACCCTGGCATGCTATTCACAGACATGACCAATTTATATTCAACATCATCTTATTTCTGAGAGTCACTATCTCAGATGTCAGTAGCAGATATTAATTTATAGATCAAGCAGTCAGGATAACTGATTTTCTCACAACAGGTTGGTTGCATTGAAATGTGTTAGTTTGTAAATGGTATCTAAGCTAGAAACTGATCCCTTATGGCCTTATCCTTTGCCATAATTATGTAACAAAACATAGGATAGTATTGTTCTTTTGGTAATCAATGAAAATAAATTTATCAGAGGAATACAGAGAAAATAAAGGGTCAACAAGGAGAAATATTAAAACTAACCCTTGAAAACTGACTCTAGAGCTGAGAATTCTGGGAAGGGGAGGGAAAATAAGGCAAAAGAATGAGGACTGGGCAGGGAGGGGCAGGGAGGAAGACAAATGGATTATGGTGAAAGATTATGGGTATTTGGTAGTATTAGTGTTACAGTCCTACCTACAACTGAAGGAGAAATCCTATACTGTCAGATACTAGCAGGGATGTGAAACAATGTTATATCAGTACAAAACAAAAGTTCTTTTTCATAAAATTCTATCACTCTTCTCAGTTAAACAAGATTTAGAAAGCAAATGTAGCAAGTAGTAGTATCTTTTAAAAGTTTATTTTTAACCTAATCTTTGTCTGTTTTTCAACAGTTCAAGGCCTGGGAGGCCTCCCAAGCGTTCTTTGGGAGTGTTGCAGGAAAGTGCTCGCCTTCTGCCCCATTCAGTCCCAGGCCTCTTATCACCAGGACTTATCACTCCGACAGGTATTAAAATCTCTCTGATGTTCAGTCTTGTCTCTTCATACTGCCCAGCCCTTGAAATAAACTAATATTGATCTGATTGCCTTGTCCTTCAGAGCTTTCAAGCTCTACTTGAGGTCACATTATTGAATTTTTTTTAGTATTCATGAAAACAGTTTTGTTTCTATGGTGATTTAATCAAATGGACATGACTTAAAAAAACCGTCATTAAATTGCACAAATTCCCTTTTGAGACCTTATTTGTATACATATGTGTACATGAAACAGGGTTGGGAGAGAAAAGTCTCAGGAAATTTTCTCTTGTCTTTGAGGGTCTGAGCATATGTATATATTTTCCAAATTATTATTGCAGGTTAGGAAGTATAAAAATATGCATGCCTGTAGCCTTGTGATTATAAAAGAAGAAAGTGATAATGATTCAATGTTCTTATTGAACACTGTGTTAAGCTGTGCTCTCCTAGAAATGCCATTCTTATAATACTAAACTTGTTTCAATTCTTTATATAAAAATTAACAGAACACTAAAAAGATAAGAATTAGTTTATTTTAAATATAGCTTAAGTTATATTCTAAAATATTTTTACAAATTAAAAATAGGGCTCTCCCTGGTGGTGAAACAGGTTAAAGCACCACATTAGAAAACTCTTTGAAGCCACTGCAGCATGATTTTGATCCCCAGCCAGAGAGTTGACCCACATGACGTGGCAGACCTCTCTGACCCGCCCACTGCTCCCCTCAGCAGTGTACTGCGTTGATCTGCCAGTTCTGCTCCCTACTCTGTCTCTGGTGAATCCTCTCACGTACCACACCTCTGGCCTGTACCCCATTTCCGTAAACATAAATAAATAAATCTTTTTTAAAAAAACACTTTAAAAAATAAAAATAAATAAAATTAAAAATAGATCCACCACATGGCTAGCAGTTCCACTTATGTGTATTTATCCTAAGAAAACCAAAACACTTTAAAAAATTGATGCATCCCCATATTCATTGTAGCATTATTTATAGTAATCTATATATGAACACAACCTAAGTGTCTATTAATGAGTAAATTGATAAAGGGACTATTTTATATATTCAATATATTATACCCAATATATCAGTTAACTACCTATGTGTTATATCTCCATATATATGGAGAGAGACAAAAAGAATATAATGAAATCCTGCCATTAGCAGCAACAATGATGCCACTCAAAGGCATTGTGCTTAGTGAAATAAGTCAGAGCAATGCCATGTGATCTTTTCAATGTGGAATCTTTAGGGAAAAAAAATCAAACTAATAGATACAGGGAACAGACTGTTGCCAGGAGCTTGGAGTGAGGGGCAGAAATTGGTGTGGGGGGGTATAAAAAAGTTTAATGCAATTGTTAATACACTTAAACTTAATATTTTGTTAAGTCTTTAAAGTTCATTAATGCTGTTGCATGGTAGTGATTTGCTTAATGACAATCAGAAACCTTCAACAGGACAAAAATTTATAATGTGCTCACAAGGTATTTGTTACTACTTCTTAGGTGATGCAAAATGATACAAATATCAGTCCTTGTCGCAGTAGATTAGGAAGATGTTTATATAAACAATAATTGCAATAAAGTGTGGTAAAAACTAATACAAGTTGCTAGTTTTTTAAATAGATGCTATTATTCATGGTATAAGGTGATACATTCTGGTTTTGATATTCATTTCCTGTATTATGAAGGATGTCAAACATTTTTCATATGCCTGTTGAACATTTGCATTTCCTCTTTGGAGAAGTATCTTTCAAGTTATTCTGCCCATTTCTTTGACTGGATTGTTTATTTTGCTTAGTCATTTGAGTTCTTTGTGATCAATCCCTTATAAGTTGTACAGAGGGCAAAAATTTTCTCCCAGTCTCGGTTTTGTTTAATGTTTCTTTTACTGTATAGAAGCTTTTTAGTTTGTTTTAAAAACAGAAATTTATCTTTTCCTTCACTAATGCCATTCACAGTAACATGGATAAAACTAAAAGGGACTGTACTCAGTTAAATAAGTTAGAAGGAAAAAGAAAAGTATTGGATGGTTTTGCTTATAGAAGGAATATAGGGGAACCAAATAAAGCATTAGGGAAAAAAATAGCCATAATAAAGCAAAAGTAAGCAGACAACTATAAATCAAAGATATTAGGCATGGAAGGGAGGAGGAGAGAGATCAAAATGAGGGAGGAAAGAACACAAGGGACTATGGTATTGGTGCCTGGGTGAGTTGGTGGTGGAAAATCTATAGGGACTACACCTGAGAAAAGAAATTATACTTTGTTAAAAAAAAAAAGATGTTAAATATAAATCATTTAATTAAAAATATTAGAATAGAAAAAAATATTCCTAAAAATCTCTTATAATATGAGTAATGTAAATGTGGTATAAGATCATAGATATGGGAGTAACAGAATCAGTTTGGTGAGCTGGAAAATACCAAGAAAGATGGAAACTTTGGAGTTATGACTTGTAGGATGAATGTTGGATAGGTGGAGGATCAGGGGAAGATCATTCCAGGAAGAGAGACAAAGATCCTTATACACCAGTGAGAAAGAGCCCATGGAGGGAGGGGGGACGGGGGGGGGATGGCTATTATGTTGATGAGACTAGAGCAGAGATTTGGGATGGGAGATTCAGTGATATAGTAAAAATAGAAAGGGAGGGGAAACCAGCTCGTGAGCCAACTTTTTATCACGTTTAGCAGTTGAGCCAGTAATTTCCAAAGTGTCTGTCAATGATTTTTCTTATTGATATAAGTGGAATTGTGAAAAAAAATCCAAATTCAACAATTCTGCCGCATTAATACAAATGCTATGTATTACATACATTTTGCTTGAATAAAAAATAGGAGAAAAAATACATAAAAGAAATCCCTGAAAAGTGACTGAGTAAATGTTATAGGAAAATAATTGTGGAGGATAGATAGCAATGAAAGCAATGAGACAAAAGAGGGTCAGTTGCTATAGTTCAAGGGAGAAATATTGAGGAGCTGAACTAAGGAAATTTTAAGAGGAGAAGAGGTTCAAAATGGTTTTGTAATTAGGATAATAATATTTGATCACATTTGAAAATTGATAAATTCAGTAGGGTTCTGGATAATGCATGTCTAGCTTGGTTTCAGGCTTGATGTTGTCACTAAGATAGAGAATTTAGGAAGAGAGTCGGGGGTGGTTAGAAATTATGTGCCTATAAATTCAGATATAATAAGTAGCTCTGTGCATAAAAGTGAATATAGATCTATAATAGTGTCTGAAATATATGAGTAAATCATAACCAGTTTCATAACATCTAACAGCATGTTGACTAAGCCTGAAATTAGCAACATGTAAATAACCTATCATGGTTTGTGGAAATGTATAGATGAATGAGAAAAGGATTTTAAAATTACCTTGAAGCCAATGTAATCTTGAGTAAATTTCAAAGCTTATCAGTTAAGGAAATGTCATAATATATATTATTATGTACTAGACATGGGTGCTAAGGTTTTTTTTTATACATTCCATTATAGTAGCTTTATGCTATTTAGGTGATGTTGGTTTAAACCACCCCCTATAATATATGGATATTGTTTTACATCTCATCACATGTATGTTACCACACCATGACCACCACCAAAGCACCAGTAATTCTCAGCCTTAGTATATAGGGACTGTCCTGCATTCGCTTCACATCCCCACCCTACCTATCTGGTAGTCTCAATGTTTCAGTGGTTTCAGTGGTTTGTTTTGATTTAGCTTTGTACATTTGTTCTGTTTCTTATTTCCACTTATGTGTGAAATAATTTGGTATTTGTTTTTCTCCTTCAATTTGTTTTGCTTAGCAGAATTCCCTTCAAATTTCATCCAGGTTGTTGCAAATGGCAAGAGTTCATCCTATTTAGAGCTATTCCATTCTGTGTATATGTATGTGTGTGTGTGTGTGTGTGTGTGTGTATCATATTTTTTTTGTTATTGCATAGAAGAACTGGAGTATAGGCCAAGGGTACAGGGAGTGAGAGGATTCACCACAGACAGAGTGGGGAGGAGAGCCGGTAGATCTACTGAAATACACTGCTGGGTGGAGCAGTGGGTGAGATAGGAGAGGCCTTCGGCACCATGTGGGTCAGCTCCCTGGTCAGGATCAGGGATAGAACTAAGGCCTTTATGGTGAACTTCTGTGGTGATAGCACTGAGACTTAATTCCTAGACCACAAGGGAGGCTATATCAATATACCACATCTTCTTTATCCACTCATCTGTCTTTGGGCACTCAGGTTTTGCCATACAATGGCTATTATAAACAGTCCTGTAATAAATATGGGTGTGCATGTGTATATTTGTATACAGGTTGTATGTGTGTGTTTGTGTATATGTATTTTAGGGTAGATACCTAGGAGTAGAAATGCTATATCTTATGGAAGATTTATTTTAAATATGTTGAGAAACTTCTATAATATTTTCATTAGTGGTTGGATTAGTTCTAACATTTTGCCAGTAGTACATGAGGGTTATATTGTCTGCACATCCTTAGCAACACTTGTTTCTTGTCTTTTAGATATGGGCCTTTCTCAAAGGTGCAAGTTGGTATCTTACTATAGTTTTGATTTACATTTCCCTGATGACAAGTGGTGAATATTTCTTCACATGCCTATACGTCCTCTATAAGAAGTCTTTAGAAAAGTTTCTATTTATATCATCTGTCCATTTATTGATTGGGTCATTTTATTTGTTTATATTGTTGAGTTTTAAGAATTCTTTTGTATTGGACATAAGATGTGCAGTTTTTC